GCTTAGTTGCATTCAACCAAAATAATTTCTATGCCATTATCACTCAAGGACACTGCTAGCTAATGGTTTGCTCCATGCTTCACGTGTATGGCTCATGTCGGCACCTGAATCCAGATGGAAAGTGAGAAATGCTGAATTTAACACCCTACCAGCTGAAAACCCTCACATCTGTTTCTTTCAGTGATCTGCAGTGTTCCAAACAAAGGGTTAACGTTTTTTCAGGTTCAAATCTTCTGTTTTAGCTTGAAGATTGGTAAAGTTGATCATTATTAATGAGAACAAAGTTGGGTCACTCTCCCTCATAAGTCCAACCAAAGAAGAGGGGTCCTTTCTAGATCTTTCACAGCCACTGATACTGATTGTGTGAATAAAAACATGTTCATTCATTTTTGACATTGATTTTACATTGAAGAGGACCCCAGGTGGAGATTAGGCTGTAAATCCACACAGGGAGACTGAAAATGAAAGCTCCTCAGTTTCTAGCCGCATAGCTGCAACGGGACCATGGATGCTTTGGTCCCTTCAACTGATTACAAATTTCAGCTATGAAAAAAAAAAAATTTTGTGTCTTTTTGCTGTAACAATTTATTTTTTAGCTTTGAACTTGTATTGTTCTTCATTAGATTTTTTCCTATGCCTATGAGATGGCAATTTGCAGGATCAAGATTAAGACATAAATCATTGATTCCATGGCATGATCATTTCTGCTACTGTGAAACAGCATGTTGGCAGAATATGCACCCACATCAAGTTCCAAGCTTTTCATTGGATCCAAAAGAGTTGCCTCATGGTATTATTGGCAATTTTGAAACCCTGGTAATCAGGAACTGAAAGAGGATATGTCAATGCTGATCAGAGATGACAATTGTCAGCTTTAATGGGTTCAAAGCAGCAGCCTAGCAATTAGCCTAAAACAGTACTACTATTGTTGTGGGAATTCTTAGCTGGATTTCATTTCTATGTTTAAGGGTAATGAATCCTGTTGTAAGATGAATTGAAACTATGCCATCATGTTTCTTCCCCACATTATGTACAAGGTCGGACTTGAGTAAAATTATGATAAAAAACAATGATAAGTAGTTCTACTCATAGACAACTCTTTTTTGAAGGGTAAGACAATTTTCAGAAAAATTGCTTTATTTTTTGTTAACTAGTAAGTTATTTTCCATTGGTCAGTTCGTTTTCTGTCAAATGAATACCTGAAAATGCAGAAATTATTTTTTGAAAGTAATTTTCTGTGAAACAAATGAAGCCTTAGTCAATTATTTCGTTCTAAGTTACTTGACCGCAAAGCTATAAAGATTTCTGATACATGTTAGGTGTATAGCAGGACAGAACAAGCATTGAATCCAGAATTATGAGCAGAATTATATGAATGATCAAAGTTACAAACTTAAAACTGACATTTATCTAAATGCAATCATAAAAATCTTAAAGCTGTCAAATGGAGATTGTTCATTAGACTAATTAACCCTATTAGTCTGGTAGTGTGTGAGTGCTGATAATGATGAAACTTAATCCACAATTTTTCTTCTATGTAATGTACTTTTATAATTTGTCTATTTTCCAAAAGAAATTCACAAATCAGGTGAGGAAGTATCCCAAGTGTTGAAATCTTAATCTCTCTTACAAAAGCAAAACAAAATCAACAAAGCAATCAATTAATTTACCCTTGTCTGAAAGTGAAGGAAATCTACAGCTAGCACAGTGCTTTTTGATAATCAAAGCTAATCCTAATTGCCATCATTTTCACAGGGTCCTTTCTTTAATATCATTTAAATGCTTAAAATAGAAAATTTTGAAAAGACCTGATATCTGATATAACCATATGATGCATAGAGGATTGGGGTATTCCCCCTCATATTTTCTTTGTCATCATCGATGTGTCTCAATAGGTTACTTCTGATTGGTTGATTTGTTAGCAATCAGATTCTGAACCAGTTCATGATCTGGCTCCTGCCACCATGAATTTTTGTTTCTGTTTAAAAGTTTGGATAGTAATTGTCAAATCAAATTACCCAGAAAAATTTAGATTATGAATATGCATCTGGTTCGGATCTTTATTAACACATTTCCTTGCAAATGGAGCATTAAAAGTTAAAACTTAAGGCTAAGAATGTATAACCAAACACATAATTTACATGCAACTGCAGTCTCAATCCCCTGAAAGAACCAGAAATTTTACTACACTAGCAATTCTGTACAGAATATAGTCTATAGGAGAAACAGAAGGCAAAAAATTTACTAATATTAGATTATACAAACATGCAAATTAAGGAGATTCTGATGATTTTTATTTCTCTAGGAATCATCTCAGTATGATCCTTAAACCATGACTAATTGTTGTCGAGCTTCGATCCTTAATTCTTCTTTCATCTTTCTGATAAATTCATCAAACTTTTTGTTTAGCTCTTCTGTACTTAACACTCTATTTCCTTCAACTAATTCCACTTCTTCTTCATAATTTTCGCTTTCTTCTAAGTTTTGTACAAAAAAGTCATCATTTGACCCTTTTACCACTCCTTGAGCTTCTTCAGAGAAAGCAGCATTTTCTTCTTCTTCTTCTTCACTTGTCATCAAACCCCATTTTTCTCCTTCTTCTTCTTCCTCTTCCTCTTCCAGGGTGAAGTTTTCCATTGTTTTTTCTGCTGCAGCTAATTCTTCTTCCTCTTCTTCTATTCCTTCCATAACACTACTGTTTTTTAGTGCCTCAGCAGTGCTCTCCAAGGCAACTTCCATCTCCAACAATGGTGCTTGTGAATCCAAAACAATTGATTCAGATTGTGGAACATCTTCATAGCTCTTGAAAGACTGATCATCACTAAGATTATTCTTGGATGAAGGACTGATTAACCCCGAGTATTTTACAACAAAAACAAGCAGTCCATTGCAAAAAAGGAATATGCATTTCTTATCAATAGAATGGGTAAACAACTGGAAAGGAAGTGAATTATGGAAGTTGAAGTTAAAGGAATTGAGCAAAGAAAACCAATATGAATGAGAAAACAATAAGGAAAAAACAGAAACCGAAAGAAGCAACTTAGTCAGTTTTCCATGAAACTGAGATTTTATAAACTGACTCAAAGATTGCTGCTTCTGGTTTTCTGTTTGATCCATTTTTTGAACCTAAAAAAGGGTTTTGGAGTTTGAAATTGAACTTGGAATGGCTTGAAGTTGCAAGGATAATTGGTATGTCAAAGAAACAAAGGGGCTTGGCCTTTTTATAGAGGAATCAAACTGATTTGAGTTACATGAAATGAGGGTTGATTTTCCAAAAGAACCCTTGTTTTGCATGCAAATCATAGCCACAAAATATCCCTCAAACTGAAGTCTTAAGGCAAGCAAACCAAACCTTTAAGATTTATCTGATTTGCATCAAATTTCAGGTTGCCATTTGGAAGGGGATTGAAATTTCCATTTACTTGACAATTGTAAACTTTCTCGCTGTCATCCCATTAGGTAAAGAGTTACCTTATTGCTTACCAATTTGACATTGACTGATTTATTTTTTTGGTACATGATTGAGAAAATTGGTCAGATGTGGCAATCAATGGCAAGTTGGGGACCAAAATCCATAAGAAGAAACAAAAAACGAGAGGTTCAAATTCAAATGAAAGTCTACATATGGAGTAATGGGATGAATTCAGGGTCACAGCATTCATTTCAATCTAACCATTTATAAAAAAGAAGTCAACAGTTCTTTTTTATTTTTCTTATCCCATCTTCTCTTTTTCCCCAAAACAGACACTATATCTTGCTCATGATACCTTTCTTCTACTTTTGGGTGTTTTGGATGAATCCATATGACAAACTTTAATACCATTTTTCTGTCTTCTTTTGATTTTTTTTTAAAATTTTTTTTAGTTAGATGGGTAATAAAACATCTAAAATTTCATCATTGGTAAATAAATTCTAATAAAACATATGAAATTGCAAAATCATTGATGTTAATTTTACAACTACCAAATTCTGTCATTTTCTCATGATTAATGTTTTGAAAATAATTGTAAAATCCCAAAATTTACATCACTTGTATCATTTATAACACATGTGTTCACAACTTTCAGCCATGTTTCTTTGCTTTCTTTTTCATTGAAAGGGCCTCTTCTATGCCATGACTTTGTGTGCAATTATTTCTTGAAAGTAAAAAATCTTTAGACTAAATTATAAGATTGATTTTTCTTTCTTTTAACGTATTTCTCTTCAAACATATTCGTTAAATACACTCCATAATCTACTAAATAAAAAACCTTCCTTCATTTTCTCACCACGAATTCAAAGAGAACCTCAAATTTACGAGAAATTGATCGAATAAATTAAAAAAAGTAGACTTTACTTATCTGAGTTAGCTAAGAAATCAATGGTCCTAAAGAAGTATTTTCAATGATCATGTGTAGCACGGCTCCAAGCCATCCAAGTTCCAACTAACATTTGTTTCCAATTCCAAGCTTCACGAAATTCATTTTGTTTTCTTATGATTTTTTTCACTTTTTTTCTTTCTTTCTTTCTTTACTTTTTCTTGGCTTGCTTTGCACACATAACAGCAAACCTTTTAAAAAAGCTTTATGCACACTTTGATACCATCCCAATGTTCCCTCTGAAAGTGATGCAAAACCAGAATATCTTTTGATCAAGTTGTTGGTAATGGCAGACAAGGGAAAAAGGGTTGAGTTTCTTGTTAATTGGTTGTTATATGTGATCATTATCTTGTTCTAAACCTATCCGAAAACCCCTGTTTATTACCAACAGCAATTAATGATTTGATTGGAACACAAGTTTATTTAGTGTTAGGTAGCAATGAGAATTTGATTTCCAAAGGTAATAATTGGCTAATAATTAGTAGGTAAAAGATTTCTTATATCACAAGCAATTCAGAGGGTTAATTTGATCATATATAGGGTTCTAGAAATCACAACTCTTGGCTTGTAAAAGCATTGATTTAGATAAATTAGTAGTTTGAATTTTGTTTTTTTTTAGTTTTTTGAGTTAAAATTCGGCCAATTTGAACTTGAGATCTTCAGCCTTAAAACTGATTTCATTACTATTAAACTAACAGTTCATATAGCCAACTAGATTAAGATTAACAAAACCATAAGGAAAAGTTATAATTTAGGATGGCTTAGTGCTGGTAACATTTCAAACCCCTAATTAAACACATGATTTCTATACAAAAGCATGATTACTGCATAGTTACTACAAGTTTATTAGGACCTAATTACACATCTAAATCATCAAGCAATAGAAGATTTTGCCACTAAAGCATAGCTTTATGCAAAGACTTCCGAACAAGGGATGATTCATTATATAGTGGTAGCATCTCAAAGCTGATCAGGCCACAGAAATGCTCCCATGGCAAATGCTCTCTTCTCATCAAGAGTGCTGCCCTTGAAGCTGAATCCATATTCTTTCAGTAGCATATCCACCCTCCATTCTTCCATCTTCTCATAATCCGCCTTCGAGTATCGAGGATAATGAACTGGCATTTGGAAGCCATTTGGGTAGTCTTCCTTGTTGATTTTGATGCTGGCAACCCCTCCATTCATTTCCTTGCAACCTTTCAGATTTCCATGGACAAGCCCTTCATTATGGCATGCTACCGCTGCCTTGGAGTGAAAGTTACCGCCATCTGTGTGGCCGAAAACTTGAGTAAATGCAGAACTGAGAAGCCAATTCAGAGCCATCTTGAAGGAAATGTGGAGCAGCAAACTCAAAGCTTTACTGCAAACAAAGGCTGGTATTTATAGGACATAGAGCACACTCAATTATTTGCATCATTTATATCATGAAAGATGTACATGAGAAATATCTTTAGGACTCTATTATTAGGGTTCTTTAATTAATGCCATTTCCTGCAAGAAATTGCATGTATAGGCTGATCTGAGGGACACCTTGAAGGTCTGCATTAATGTGGTAGTTCTTAGTCGCTTTTGATCTTTGAAATTTCCAGCTTATGTTATGTTATATTGAAATTGCCAAATGGAGATACGTAGTTGTCATTGATGTGAAATATTCAAAGTTTTTCAAGTGATTTTCCTTTATAATTTTGATTTTAAGGTTCATAAATCAAGATTTGCTGCTAAATTAAGGAATATTAATGATCAAATATACCCCTAAAAGACATTGGATCATACTAATAAAATTACCATAACTAGTTTTGATCGAATGATGAACTTCTCATCATATAAAAAATTATTAGTAATGATTTTTTTAATAAAAATAAAATATTTAATAATATAAACTATTTCAGCAGCTTCAAATATAAAAAATTATATCAACAGGATCACCATCTATAACATTACATAAATTGATCATAAACACGATTTGAGATTTTATAATTTTTTAAAGCTTTTGATTTTGCAAGAAATGAAATGATCAAGTATGGGTCACTTGAGACTAAATTGCATGGCACTCAATGCTTGATGAATGTTTTGTGACTATGGCTCTTAATAATATTAAAGCAAATATTTATTTCACCACCAACTTCATCAACAACTATATAATTAATTGTCTTTGTCATCATATATAAAAATATATGTAATGTGCTTATCCAAGTTGAAACTATGATATCCAAATTTAGTGATACAATGACAATTGAGACCTGATTTTTTCTCCAATATTTAACAATTTATTTTCTAATATATAAAGAACTAATAATTAATTCAAGTCAATAAGATCCAATGGTGCTTAATTTGAAGTGGTAGCTTTAACAACATCAAGATTCTATCTCTGATTCTAGCAATGTTTAAGAGCTGATCTGATTCCCTTTATCTTTGCTTCAAAAGATAGTAATTTGAGTATTTGTATTATATAAAATATTAAAATTTTTATGTTTATATTATATTTTACTTAAAAATTATGTATTATAATTTGTATTGATATGAAAATATAAAATATATTTTTATTTTATCAAATGTATATATAATTATTGTTAAAATTTTAAATTGTATTATTTTTATATTATTTTTATATTGTATTATCGTATCATATTTTAAATTATTAGATCTAAATTAAGCTATCATAATTGAACATAATACCTACAATCAAATAAAAATAATTATAAAAAATTAAATTTTATAAATGTGTATTGATAAATAATATTTTACAAATTCAAGATACTTAATTGAAGGTGTACATTGGATTATACTTATGTTATAAATAAATTTATTTACGAATCATTTTAATTAAAATCGAGTCATAATCATAAATTTTTGGATTAGAACTCAAGTCATGAATATGTTTTATAATTATAAAATTATTTTTTATTTAATTGTAATTTAAAATTCTATGAAAAAATATACAATATTAATATAAAAATATTTTTAATATTTTAATATAAAATTTAAATAAAATAAATCCAAATAGCTTTTAATGAACATATCACATCAACTTTAAAATAAATTATTTGAAATATTAATCCGACTCTAATTATAAATAAATAAAATACGATATTATCGCCATCATAATACAAGATTTTATCCTTTTAATTTTTTTAATACTTAAAGAAAAAATCATTTAAATTTACAGTAATATGTTTAAAAATTAATAATGATAATAATATGAAAATAACCGTTCTAAAATAATGAACAAAATTTGTTTTATATCATTACTATAGTTTAAAATTTTAGTTATAATTATTTATAAATTTAATAAAATTTAAAATATATATTTTATATTTTTAAATTGATATATAATAATTAATTTTTATATAAAATATAATATAAATATACGAATTAAAATATTTTACACGAATAGACAAATCGTTAAATTTAAGAAATACTAAAATCCCCGAGGGTATTTCATCACACTTTCGATCTGTAAAACCCTAAACGATTACTAAAACCTCAGTCAAGCAAGCCCCCAAATAAAAAAACCTAATAAAAATGTCTTCCATTATTCTTCGATCTCGAATAATTTCAAGTAATTGTAGTTCAAAGATCATTAATGGAAGGGTTTTAAGTTTAAGAGTGGTTTCTTCTTCTTCTTCTTCTTCTTCAAATCCTCCTAAAGAAACGATCATTCCTTCACAATCTATTCTCTCTGATCAATCTTCGCCGCCTCCTCCTCCGCCTGCGCCAGAAGCTGTCCCACAGGCTTCGGGAAGGAAAGCTTGGAGCTTTCTCAAGTACGGACTCATCGCATCTGTTACTGGAACTGTTGGCTATGCTGGTTATCTCTCTTATAGTAAGTCTTCTTTTTGTTTTTTTCCTTTAATAAAGTTTGGAATCATTTTCAATTTTATTTATAATCTTGTTTAAAATGTGGGTTTTTATATGATTAAAAATGTTTTTTTTTTTAAAATTTAATTTGATTTGCAGAGTGTTCATATGAGGAGGTAGATGAGAAGGCAAAGGCATTGCGGGCTGCTGCGGCTAATTATACTCGTAGTGAAGATGCATCTGCCATTGATGTAAGTCTGAGTATGTTTGGAAATTGGGTTTTTTTTTTTAAAAAAAAAAAGAATTTTCTCATTATATTTCAGTTGTTTGAATGATGTCATGTTGCATATAACTGGTTTAGGTATTATTTGAGTAGCTTTCATATCAGTTTAGTGTGTTCTGGTGTCTTTTGTTTTACCATCTTGAACCATAGTTAAACAGAAGTAATAGTTAGCTGCATTGCTGTTTAAATAGTTGGTAGATTTTGCGACAAATTCTTTTTCAATCTGTAGGAAAACAATTTATCTGCTCACTTCAGTACATAATCATATAAGAGCCATCCATTGTTGGGCCGCACAGGTGATTCCTGTATGATTGGTGTCTGTGATGCAATGAATACATCAATATCAGTTTTGTGAGTATTTATATTAATGTGCTTATGAATATGGATGCGCATGTGTGGTGCTTTTGCTAAATCTTAATAATGTTATATAGCCATTGTTTAGTTGTTCCTATGAAAGAATCATATATTGAAGTGGTGATGTTTTGTTTTCCATAAATTTTTTCAGAAATATCAAGGCTTGCTTTACTCTGCTGCAATGACGGGTAAGGACATTATTATGTTTCTGTATCTCTTATTGCTTCTTTCTTTGTCCATAGCTACAATTTTCTCTACACTCTTTCTTCTGTATGTTAACCTAATCGCTAGAACAATATTTGCCTACAGGGAGTTAAGTTTTAATTTAATGTAAGCTTTTTTAGTTTAGTGTCTGGAAATGTTCCTTTAGAAAAATTGGGCTACTTCATTATAAATGGATTTGTTGAGCCAGCAAACAAAATTCATTACTTGGTGCTGATTGCTTTCTATGGACTTGGTCAACCATTGATTTGTTTACGTGTTCTGCTGTCACCCCCATTTGCTCATAGTTTATTTGATTGTGGCATTTCAGTTCCAGCTAAAGCACTTGAATCGTATCTGAATCTCAGGAGGTTTGTGGAAGAACATGTGCTGGTGAGTGCTGTTCTTCTTTTTCTTGTTTCTGGTTTTCTTGTATTTCCTGCCTATCTTTTGTTTTTCCTTTATATAGGCATTAAGTGCTTGTTTTCTTTATTTTCTTATACTTTTATCTTGCATTGCAGGAATTTACGGAACCAACCTCAGATAAGCTTCTTCCTGATTTGCATCCTCAAGAGCAGCATGTTTTCACACTTGTCCTAGATCTGAATGAGACATTACTTTATACAGATTGGAAGGTAAGAACTTGACTTAAAACTATTTTCCATTTTCCTTTATAAACCCTAAACTTTTTATTTTGGTTTTTTGATTATTGAAGTTCATGCTCAAATGTTTGGAATTTTTTTCTTTCTTTTTTTTTTCCTTTTTGGTTGGCAAAGCGAGAGAGAGGCTGGCGTACCTTCAAAAGACCTGGAGTAGATGCCTTTTTGGAACATCTGGCAAAGTTTTATGAAATTATTGTGTATTCTGACCAGATGAATATGGTAACTTGATCTTTTCCATTGTAACAACCGTTCTAAATACACAAGTATTTGATAATTGGTGTTGCCAGCAATATAATTATTTGTTTGTTTTGGCTTGTGCAGTATGTTGACCCTGTTTGCGAAAGGTTGGATCCTAACCATTATGTACGATTCAGGCTATCAAGGGGTGCTACTAAATATCAGAATGGCAAGCATTATAGAGTAAGTTATAGTTGATTACTTTTCTTTGAAGCATTTATGTTTTTGTTTTGCCCTCTTCAGTTTTCTGCTATACTAAGTGTATTAATCTATGAGACAGTGTCTTTAAGAGCAGCTACTTGAAAATGAATATTCTTGTTAACAAATAGTTCCTGTTGGTAGGATCTTTCAAAGCTTAACCGGGATCCAGCCAAGATTTTGTATGTGAGTGCTCATGCATTTGAATCTAGCCTTCAACCAGAAAATTGTGTCCCTATTAAGCCGTATAAGCTTGAGACAGATGATACAGCCCTTTTGGATCTTATTCCATTTCTTGAATGTAAGTCTTATGCTGTTTCCTTTCCGTTTGCTTGCTTCCTTTGTTCAAATTTCATATGGCATCTGTGTTAACTAGTGTAGTTGGTAGGGTCTATGGTTGATCCAAACGGTCTCACTTGATTAGAATTTTTTTATTTAGACGTTTGCTGTGTTCTTGTGTTGAGTGTAGTACCATCTGTTTTGGCTTGTCCGCAGATGTTGCCCGCAATAGTCCAGCTGATATCAGACAGGTATTACAATCTTATGAAAGAAAGGATATTGCGAAAGAGTTTCTCGAGCGTTCCAAAGAGTATCAGAGGTGAACTATCATCTTACCTTACTGTATTTTCAAATCTGTCTCAGATATGCTGTCTTTATACTTGATAACAACATTGATAAATGCCAATCACATACATATCGAAATATTGTTGAACTACATTTTGATTTGGCGCCATGATCACGCAGGCGAATGCAAGAACAGAGGCAGCAAGGTCGATTCTGGCGGCGCTGAGTACAGAGTTATGTATAGTTGATGGAATCAGAAGAATGTGAAAGACAGTATTGTTGAAGTTTGCAGTCTCCATTTTTCCCAGTAGGAAAGCCATTTTCTGATAATTTAAATGTCTGACAAATAAACTTATAGTTCTTTCCTTTTGCTGAGATGTAGGCAAGCTTCCAATATCTTAGATGGTTGATGAAATCAAAATTTTGACTACAGCTGATGTTAAGGTTATTCATTCTTGCAATATTCAGTCATTTTTCCACAACAATAGTCTTAGTCTACCTTGAACCTGAAGTGATTGACATGTTTAGCTCGATGTAATCCATGTCTCATGGTTTGGTCGGTCAACACGTCTTTGTCCTAACCAACGACTTTGACGTGTGAACTTCAGAGTTCACAACTTGGGTGTGAATCGTGGAAGTGGCTTTGCCGTCAAGACCCAACGTGACGGCAAAGCCAATCCGAAAGTGGATCCCACTTGGGGTTTTTTTTTTCCAATAATTCCTAAATAAAGATTCCATTGCTAAGGCTTCCATTTCAGATATCTACTTTTCCATAACATTAATAAATTTTAATGAGCATTGTTTTATTTACTTGGCATTATTCATTTTTTGTGGTAGATATGGTTATTAATTTTTAACTCCTTACATCATATATTGTCTATGTTTTGTTGGTGTTATTCAAATATATTAACATGTTCAAAGATTTTTAACTTTTCAAGGGTTAGGTAAAAAGTAAATATGGCAATTTTAAATACAAAAATATAATTTAAAAATTATATAAAATATATTAAAATGATAAAAAATTATGAGTTTGATTAAAATAAAAAAAAATATTGTATTTAATATATAAATACAAATTGTGATATATTAATTTTGACATTTTATGTATATTTGAAATGTAACAAATATAAAATAAATATATGAATTATTATTTATTAAGAAGTTGAACTTAAATTGTAATTGTTTTATACAAAAAGTCACTAAACAACCCATTTTTTCGGTACCTCATATGGTTTAATCTAAATAAACATTATTTTCATTAATCATCAATCTAGAATGGACAAAATTAGTGATCTATCAGAGTTCTAACATGAATTTAACTAAATTTAATTAACGAAATTAATTAAAATTAGACTTGACAATTTGTGTTTTTGTGTCATATTTTGTATCGTATTTGATATGTGTAATGATGCGAATTATTAAAACACGTATATGACACATTAATATACATTTTACTATGATACAATATAATTAACACGTGTACAATTAATACATTTAGACATAATATGAATAAACATGAATAATATGAATATACACAAATAGATATGATTAATACGGATATATACGAATAGATATGACTAATATGAATATATATAAAAATATGACTAAAATAATAAATAATTATAAACTATCAATCATTTACAATTTAATAAATTTGGCATATTAATAATATAAAAAATACTTACATATTAAAAAAATTTAATACTCATTTAATATGTATTTAATAAATATATATTTAAAATTTAATTTATATTACATAAATATATTAATTTTTAGTATAAATTCAAAATGATAAACTATTAATATTTATAGTGTATTTATATTATTAATTAAAAAATAATTTTATAATAATTATTAAATAAGTATAATAATTAAATGTTTAACATAATTTTTATACGATATTAAATAGTTAATTAAATATTATAATTAAAAAATTAAAAATTAAAATAATTTTTATATATTTATATTAAATTAAAATAAATATAAAAATATGTTAAACGTGTCAAATATGTTAAATATGTATTCATATAACAAAATTAAATTAAACGTGTTATTCGTGTCGGATCATGCATTTAAACATATCAACATATATATTACACAAATTATATATTGTCAAAATTTATATTGATATAAATAAATACGAAATATATTTTTTAAAACATATATAATTTTTTTCAAAATATTTTTTTAAAACATATATATAATTTTTTTTATATTATATCATTAATCATATTTAAAATTATCATGTCTAATTATATGTCTATTTTGTTATACTTTTCTCCTTAAATTATCAACGTCCGTTTCCCAGGTTAGTACTTCTGTTATCTTTTGCAGTACAGACAACGACAAAAACTCTCCCTGTTCTCTCTTTCTATATATTCTTTGTAATTATGTAATGAACTCAAGCCACATTTTAACTTGACATTCTTCCAATGAAAGTGTCAAGTTTTCTCTTCTTCCTCTTTCTCTCCCTCTCTCTTTTCCTCTCTGCCACCTCCCATGGAGGCAGCAATGATGATGATGATGATGATGTTATGGCAGGTGAAAGCAATGAACCTCATGACCTACGTTCCAAATCCTTGATTCTGGTCAAGATATGGTGCTTGATTCTTGTGTTTGTAGGGACCTTCATTGGTGGGGTGTCACCCTATTTTCTTAAGTGGAACCAGGGTTTTTTGGTGATGGGAACTCAGTTTGCTGGTGGGGTTTTTCTAGGGACTGCCATGATGCATTTCTTGAGTGATGCTAATGAAACTTTTGAGGATTTGAATGCTAAACAATATCCTTTTGCATATATGTTGGCTTGTTCTGGATATTTATTGACTATGGTGGCTGATTGCGTGGTTTCTTATGTGTATGGGAAGGGTAATACTTCATCGAATAATAATGGTGATTTGGAGCTTCAAGGTAAGAGCAGGTTTCCATATTTTTCTCTTTTATGAATTCTTTTGTCAAGAATTATGAATTATAAGTAGTTGAAGCGGTGTTTTTATTTTTGTGAATTGGGGAAGGAAAAGAGGGGAAGGAAAAGAGGTCTAGCCATGTTTGGTTGTTGAGGAAAGGAGGGGATGAATTCAATGTTAACTACTAGTTAATCAGGTCCCACATGGTAAAGCAATCTCTAATAAGTCTAGACATAGATGTTAGTTTAGACAAGACCACACCCATGTTTTTGTTGGTTTCACACGCCATGTCTTGTTTGTTGACTGACCTGTTAGAGAAAGGTTGGAGGAAAGGATAAGAATATGACTAACCAATTTTGGTTGCCATTAATTTGGGAGAAGAGAAGCTGTTTCTGCGCGAAATTTTCTTGATAATAACTTTAGGACTAAGAAAATGGAGGACCATATATGTTAAATTAAGAGTAGTACAACAATGAATGTTTGGTTTAATTCGGTTGTTGAGTAATAAGTTATCTTAGGCTGCCAAAGCTCTTGCTTTTATGGTTATGATGGTGGTTGAACTGTTACTATGACTATAATTCTACTTTTTCACCTCATACATATCTGTCTAAACTGCAGGGGCTGAGCAGAGCAAAAATAATCCTCATTGCAATCTGCCGGTAAGCTTAGTAGCCTCAAAAATTGTCTGTAAATTGGTTTCTGTTAATATTTGACAGCTTTCCATGCTTTGTAGGTTGGTAATGGTACTGATACAGCATGTGCACAGCCCTCATCACTCACATCTGTGAGTTCTTTTGGGGATAGTGTTTTGTTGATCTTTGCCTTGTGCTTCCATTCAGTCTTTGAGGGCATTGCAATTGGAGTTGCAGAGACACAGGCTGATGCTTGGAAAGCCCTATGGACAATCTCCTTGCACAAGATATTTGCAGCAATTGCAATGGGGATAGCACTCCTCCGACTGATCCCAGATCGTCCCTTGTTGTCATGCATAGCATACGCTTTTGCATTCGCCATTTCAAGTCCTGTTGGTGTGGCCATCGGGATCATAATAGATGCCACAACTCAGGGTGCTGTGGCCGACTGGATCTTTGCCATATCAATGGGGTTAGCATGCGGAGTGTTCATCTATGTATCGATAAACCATCTGTTATCTAAAGGTTACACACCCCTTAAGACAGTTTCCATTGACACACCCCATCACAAGTTTTTGGCTGTCTTGTTAGGCGTTGGAGTGATTGCTGTTGTAATGATCTGGGACACTTGAATGTAGTAATTTCAACTCGGGATACCTTCCCAGTTTTGGTTTGCAAGTATAGAATAGAACCAGATAGATCAAGTTAGTCTCTCTCTTGTCTATGTCATAGTTACTCGATCACCATGCTTTCATTATCAATTCTCAAGTGTATTACTTACATTCTATTTGTTCATTTCTGACTATAAATTGGCTTTACTATGTATATTTTTTGATAGGCATAGATGGCTCAGCCAAAACTAGATTCAATGCTGACTATGGAATCTGACCAATATATATTGACTTGCTATCATGCATGAATCATGAACTGAGTGGATTATACAGTAATGTCAGATGGGTTGGACAAAACATAAGATTCATCTAGTGTGGTAATGCCTCTTGCCTTCTAAAAACATAAATGTTTTGCCTTAAGGAATGAAGGCCTTACTTGTCGTCTTGCTTGAGTTCAATGGGTTTGGCAAGACCATTGTTATTCCAAGCTGAACCATGTTCTTGTCAGATACAATGCAAGCACTGAAACTATTTTTATTTTATAACTCTACTATGAGAGCAGAGACCGGGGTAGGAAAACTTCATTGGTATAAACCGAGAAAAAGTATTAACCCAAAAGGGAAATTTTCGGATCAGCAGCTTCAGAAGCAGTTTCTGCTTCAACAAAACCTACAATAAATAGTGTTATTAGTGGTAAAATCTCATTAAATCCTCTGATAAAAGGTGCTAACATACAAATGTGAAATTTGAAGTAGTTGAATGAGTAATATCCAGTGCTCTAGAGGTCCACATGAAGAGCTTTCTCGAGGCAAACTGATACTATGATGGGACCAGCCAAGTCTCCAGCAGCACAGCCTGTAGAAAAAATTCACAATTTAAAATGATGCCAATGTAAGACAGTTGAACTTACAGTCTTACACACAAACTTGGGATGTTGGTAACAGGCAACTATTTGCTATAAACTACGAAGAGTTAAGATTCAGATAGGTGACTACTTACCAATCCACAGACCAATGAAGGACGAAAAAGAGTAGCACCAATCCCTGCTCCAATGGAAGCAAAAATCAACGATGCTCCACAACTGATGGTAACACCAGAAATCTTCTTTCCAAGACGTTTAGTTTGCTCTGCTATGTTGACCCCTTCACTCTCTTCAGAGTTTGTTATGCGAGAAAAGCACCGGTAGATTTCAATACCAGTTTGGACAAGCCATGCTGCCGCAACTCCAAGAAGATGACCTGAGTAAACATTGGGAAAAAGGCAGAGATGTTACAAAGCTAAAGCAACTATTTACAATAAAATAGAGGACAAATTGATAAATGGTTTTGATCTCTGAAAGTTGTTCTGCTAACTCTGAAGAAGTACACTGTGGCAGGCATTCCCCTTTGGGACTTCCGGACAGCTGATTTTGGAACGTCTGCACATGTTGATCAAACTCATGAGCAGCTTACAATAATAATCAGCAAGAAGATTTTGAATAATAATAATGATCATAATATGATAAGAGTAAAAGCATTTTTTCCCTTTTACGTTCACAGGCAAGTTAAAGTACAACCACTGATCCACCACCATGACTTCGTGGAATAATGAAAGGAATGTACCTTTAAGGAGTTTCCATGCCACGCGTTGCGAAACATAAACAACAGCAAGTCTTTCGAGAACAGTAGTCTGAGAAGGCATAAAGCATAATAAAGTTAAGTTGTTCCTTCAATAGCAAAGGATTGTCTCATTTGCGGTGCAATGTGCTTCAAAAACGGAGATTCAACAATCTATAGAAGACAGACTTCAGAACAAAGCTTAGATTTAATGAATACAGAAAGAAGAATTGAACAAATTTGGCATGTGTAAATATGAATTTAATTAGCATCTAAATGACATAACTACATATCTTTTTATTAATTTTAACTGCATAAATTGATGAATTATACAAATATTTGGTTTTTTGCTTGACTCTCGCTGAAAAAGCATATCAGAATTTCATAAGATACGAAGAGAGACAGATGAACAATATCAAAAAACGGGCTCAGCGGCAGGATATCATAGAAAGGCAAGACCAAAAGAAAACAACTCACCTCACGAATTATTTGCTTCATTGATTTTTTGAAGGGAACAACTAAATCCACGTGGCGCTCTTCCGGAGTGTCCTGTAGGAAGTCATCATCGTCCTCTTCTGTGTTCATATAATGCTCCAATAGAGGCAAATAGAACATTAGAAATGACCTCAAAGTTGTCATAGCGAATGGCCTCAACTCAAATGCTGAAAAAAGACGCTTTAACTCAATTTCATACTCCTTGACAGTGTATTTAAGCGCATCATTCTTAAAGATATCTTCAGATGCTCTCTGTATCTTCGAAATGTAATCTTCGAGCAAATTCTGCAGCACAACCACTAGGGATTAAATTAAACTTTTTACTCATTCCACCATCAACCCATTTACCCAAATCACCATCCTAAGCTCGTAGTAATTCTTAAGCCATAATGTGAAATTAAAACAACCCAAGCTAACAGTGTCAACTTCATGCACAACAAAAATTAACTAAGCAATCAGAACATAGCCTTCTAAACCAAAGCTAGCCGCCTAATGGAGTATTAAAAACCAAATACGACACTGTTGAACCCGATCTAAAATAAACCCAATCCTAATCCAATTTAAACAGCACTGTCCATTTATCAATACACAAATCAAACACAGCTATACTTGTACACACACAGATGATGACATGTATGCAATACACTTATATACATGTATATATACATATACACATGAAAAATGCATATGAAACCAAACAAACAAAACTCAATTGCCTAAATTCCATGAAGGTCCATTATCCTATCCAATCTAATAAAATCATATCAGCACTGTTCACAGAGAAATACAAAAATAAAACTCTGCCATGCATACACATACGTATGATGACATGAACTATTATACACATTAAGGGAGAGTTAGGTTTGCTGAATCTTGAATTCTAGAAGAAAGTGTAATACCAAGGAAAAGTAGTCATTTTCAGGTATCTCATTTTTAAATTCTTATATTCGATTGAGAAAAATTTACGTTTATTAGATCATGTTTTTTTATCATAATATCCTTGACAATATAACAAGCCTTGCATTTTGTTTTAAAAAAAATGAACGGGACAAATGATGCTTTTATCATCAAATGAACGAAGGATTTAACATTATTTTTTATAAAATTGAATTTCATCCTATTACTGCATTTTTGTTAAATAAACGCAATAATTGATGATATTATAAAAATATAAATTGATCAAATGCAGCATTTTAAGTAAATAAGCACCTTAATTGACTTTTTTAAGAAAAAAATAGTGACACAATTACTGCATTTGTAATGAAAAAACGCCGTAATTCATCAACTCTGCGAACCTTTCTGGTTTCAATTTACCAAACCTTTCCAATACGTAATTTGCAGAATTTCAAAACAAGTTTTCTGACATTGAGGAGATTGACACTATCTTTCATTCATCGTGTGCTAGACTATAAATTGATTTTCTATATTCCAAATATTTATAAACAGGCAAAAATATCCACAAGCTTATCCAAAATAAGGAAATAATGTACTTTAACATTTATGGAGTTTCTACGTGGTAAACACGTAATAGTCAGTAATCAAATGCAACACTAACTTTGATAATTACCGCATATTTTTAAGGAAAACGCCGTAATAGACAATTATAGAATATATAAAAATGTAAAGAAAAAAAAAATCAATTACTGTGTTTTGTTTAAAAGAAACATCATAATTGACTTAAAAAAAATTAATTTTACTGATAGTCTTGCTTTTCAGACTGGTAACATAGTAGAAATATTTTATTCAGGTTCAATGTGGAACTCAAGCAACTTTCGGTTCGGAATCCTAAAATACCGTAGCGAAATATCCTAAAATACCTGTCCAGCTGACAGCTGATATCAGACAAGTATTACAATCTTATGAAAGAAAAGATATTGCAAAAGAGTTTCTCGAGCGTTCCAAAGAGTATCAGAGGTGAACTATCTTCTTACCTTACTGTATTTTCAAATCTGTCTCAGATATGCTGTCTTTATACTTGATAACAACATTGATAAATGCCAATCACGTCCATATTGAAATGTTGTTGAACGACATTTTGATTTGGAGCCATGATCACGCAGGCGAATGAAAGAACAGAGGCAGCAAGGTCGATTCTGGCGGCGCTGAGGACAGAGTTATGTATAGTTGATGGAATCAGAAGAATGTGAAAGACAGTATCGTTGAAGTTTTCAGTCTCCATTTTTCCCAGTAGGAAAGCCATTTTCTGATAATTTAAATGTCTGAAAAATGAACTTTCCTTTTGCCGAGATGTAGGCAAGCTTCCAATATCTTAGATGGTTGATGAAGTCAAAATTTTGGCCACAGCTGATGCTAAGGTTATTCATTCTTGCAATATTCAGTTATTTTTTGACAAGAATAGTCTTAGTCTACCTTGAACCTGAAGTGATTGACATGTTTAGCTCGATGTAATCCATGTCTCATGGTTGGTTGGTTCACACGTCTTTGTCCTAACCAACGACTTTGACGTTTGAACTTCAGAGTTCACAAGTCACAACTTGGGTGTGAATCGTGGAAGTGGCTTTGCCGTCAAGACCCAACGTGACGGTAAAGCCAATCCGAAAGTGGATCCCACTAGTGGTGTTTTTTGCGAATAATTCCTAAATAAAGATTCCATTGCTAATGCTACTACTTTACATCTTTAGTTTCTGATTTGGCTTCCATTTCAAATATGGATTAATATTTCATACACCGACAATGTATTATTTCTATACACTGTCAATGAATAATACAAAGATACCTTATTAATAATAAAATTTAAAATTTCAAGCCTTTAAAAATAAATATTAATAAATTTATTTAAGGTTAATTAATTAAAATTAAAATTTTTCTCTTCTATGTCACCTTCCTCTGTATTTATTGCCTACTTCTTTTGATTTTTCAATTTTTTTTACTTGACTTTATTTATCTTATCTTCATCTCACCAGATTCTGTTTTGTCATTTTTGGATTTATAAAAAGATCAATGGCATATCCCATATCTTGTGAGTATCTAAGATGTTTTAACAATAAACATATTTAATAAGCTTTTCAAGACTTCTGCATATCTGTGAGCTTTTGCTTTTTCTAGCATCTTCTGTCTTGGATGTTCAACTTTTAACTGATCATTATAGTCGGTGGGCAG